AAGTCATCATTTGCTCTTATACCTCCAGATCAGTGCTTGAGACGTTAGAGAAGGGTGGCAAGGACCCCTTACTCTCCAGCTTCCGCCATGCTGTGTGCTCAGATGAGTGCTGATGAGCCTACCATTGCTTTCTGATGTGGTGACTTCACAACGCAGAGCTAAGCTACTCCTCACTTAGGTTTGACACCGAACCATTACCAAAAAAAGTATGTCACTTCTACCCCAGACTCTAGTGTTGGCATTCCCAGTGCTTCTCTGCTTGGCCCTCAATGACCTCATGCAGCTGATACAACACTACATTTCCTCTGTTTCCTTTTTGCTTGTGTTGCTTGGTTTTATATTTATTTTTTAATTTCATTTTACATTCCAACCAAAGTTCTCCCTTCTCCCTTCCTCTTGCCTCCCTCACCTCACCCCTCAGCCCACCTCCCCAAGAGGTAATGACTCCCATGGGGAGTTGACAAAGTCTGGAACATTAAGTTGGGGTAGGACCAAGCCCCTCACCAGTGTTATGGCTGAGCATGGCATCCCCTCATTGAGAATGGGTCCAGGAAGCTAGCCCATGCACCAGGGATAGATCCTGCTGCCAGGGGCCCCTTAGATAGCCCAAGCTTCACAACTGTCTCCCACCTGTGGAAGGCCTAGTTTGGTCCCCTGGAGTCTCCACAACTGTCAGTCCAGAGTTCATGAGTTTCCATGAGCTTCTACAGCTGTGTCTGTAGATTTCTCCAGCATGATCTTGACCTCCCTTGCTCGTGTGTTCCCCCTCCCTCTCTTTGCAGCAACCTCCACCTCTCTCCTGGATGACCACAGAGTTCCTAGCGTTGCCCTTTCCTGTCCTGCGGGACGAGGCTGACTTAGTGCACAGTATCCAACATTGTCCTCATGATCTATCAGTGAGGACTCAGGAACCTCGGAACAAACAGTTCTAAAACAGGTTCTGCTGCTGGCTCCGTCCTTTCCCCTCCCTAATCCTACACCACACCAGTGCCTTGCCTAGAACATTTTCCTCCAGTCATACAGATGTGCCATTTCTTTTTTATTTTTATTTGTTTTTATGTGTGCCTATGTATATGCGCGTGTGTGCTAGAAGAGAGTGGCTCTGTATGTATGTATTTGTGTGGGAGTGTGTGTGGAAGTGTGTATGTGTGTGTGAGTGTATGTGAGAGTGTGTGTGCACACGCATGCTCGTGCACACTAGAAGAGAAGAGTGGCTTCACCTGTGTGTGCATGCTAAAAGAGAGCATCTGTTTCCTGGAGCTGGACTTACAGGAGGTTGTGAGCCACCCGTTGTAAGTGCTGGGAACGGAACATGGGTTCTCTGTAAGAGCACCAAGTGCTCCTAGGCATGAAGTCATCTTCCTAGCCCTGAAACACCATTTCTAAGAGGTTCTGCTGACTGTTCCTTCCCCCTTGATGTTTGCAAGGGTGTTGCTCTCTGGAAGCCTCTTGCCAAGCATCACAGAATTAGTGCCTGCTTGGCTGCAGATTAGAAATTACATTTTGTTTCTGAAAGCTTCTCCGGATAACCAAACTGAACCTGCCTCTAAATGGTCCCCAGTGTCTTGATATCCCTTCTTATAAAGTGCCTCAACCGGGGCAGCTCTTTCTCAGCTCATGTCAAAGCTTCTCAGATATGGATGCCGTATAGTCATCGGCATGCTAGAGCTGAGCATTCTCACTTGCTAGAGCCAGCCATTCAGTGCCCAGAATTGCTGCAAGCTGGCTGTTAATCACAGCATCGTCTGAAGTCCAACTACAGAAACTTACAGTTAAATGTATCTAAAGTAAAAGAGCTCCCAACACATCCCTTCCCAATGCATTTGCATTTTGCATCTCCTCAATGACTTTAAAGTTGGCCAGTGTGTGTATCTGAAAATTGGCAAGCACTGTAAACCAGTGTTTGATTTACTGTTTTGTTTGTCTAGATTTGAAATACTAATGGAGGGACATTAATAATGCAGATTAAACTGAGAGGTGTGACATGGTGTCTGAATCCCTCCAGAAAAGGGGGGATTGAGCACTTGACTACTGACAATACCATCTGATTCAGCAAAGAAGTTCCTCGTGTCATTGACAAATGTCCTTGTCTGTGTCTTTGTGCTTTCCTTTTTGTCTTATTGTTAAACTAGGGGAGGTGTGGTTCACTTCAGCACACCCCTGAGAGTTCTCCAATCACCAGTACAGCCGTTGTCTAACTCACTGTGATGTCCCTAGCCTCTGGTGGTAAGCGGAAATAGATGTGAGCGATTGTTACTGGATATTTGTTCAATATGTCTGACTCCAGGGTATGTGCATGCACAGAAGCTTGTATACATGAATGTGTTGAGAGACCTAGCAGTCTTCTGAGTACTGCTTCCTGGTGCATCAAAGGAAGAGTTTAAGGAAGGCGGGGAGTGGTCTGACCTGTACCTCTCCGAATAACTCTCTTGGGTGATGGCTGATCCCTTTGCCCAGGTCTGGTGATCTAGGCCATGCTATTTAATATTCACACAGAGTCAACTTGTCCCAAAAGGCAAATAGGTGGCCCTAAGTGACTTAATTAACATGTAACTGGAAGGGTTGTCCTAGATTCCTGGGGCCGTGGTTGCATCCCTCGGTGGTTGTACATGCCTTATGTAAGCTGAGTGGGCTGCCTTTGGAGAAGATCCAGGGAACCAGAGGGAAATTTTTCCTCCTCTCCATCCCTAGCTCACTTGGCACAGTGAGGGTATTTTGGGATCTTGGCTGAGTTGGTCTCTTTTTGGCCTCTGTATCCCTAGGGAATTGCCGTTCCTACAGATGGAAGCTAACTGCAGAGTAGCCGTAGGCTGAGACTGTAAGGACGGGGTGAGAAGAGCTGGCTACAGGATGCCCCTGGTCCCCATGTGTGTCAGCTACAGCACAGTTTCTGAGCTGCATCATTCTGGGAATTGCTGTACTGGAAGATTGTTTTTCCTGTGGCAGTAGAGGAATACATCAAAGCTAGCTTCCAGAAGAGCTTCTGGAGTTCCAGGGTGCATTCCGGAGGTCAGCTCCTGCCACTGTCTGCGTTCATGCCAGGCTGTTGAGTTGGGACAGTAACTTAGCCTCTCAGAACCTGGGCTTCGTTGTTGGTGAGATGGGAGTGTGTTGTACATGGCTATGGATAAAAGTAAATGAGATCTATCCACCCCTAACCTAGCACATGACAGTATCTCTGTGAATCAGAGTCTACATCAGAGATGAGGTTGAGGGAGGCAGTAAGGGTCAGCAGAGGCGTGACCACAGGAAGGCCAGCTGAGACTTACCTTGAGAGCAACTTTCTCTCCGAAGCTTAACAAGACTCAGGTCTGGATTCATGGTACAGAAATGTACAAACTCTTGTTCATCCTTGTGCCCAAAGCTGTATGCTGTGGGAAAAGGAGTGGAGCCCTTGGGACTAAGTGAGACCTGAGTCTCATGTCTGAGCTGGGAAATTGTCCACGGGAAATTGCATTCAGATCTGTAAAACTGGGCATTTTGTGCATATTATAAGAGACAGGATCCAACAAGTGCCAGCAGTGTAATACTGACAAAGAGGAACTGTGGTTGTTGACTTGGAAAGACCACTTCTAGGATCTAGACATTTCTGATCCTAAATTGCAGTGACATTACCCTCAAGAAAGGCGATTACAAAGATTAAAGGAGACAATCTATGTCCAGAATGACTCTGGAAAATTAGGAAGAATAGCTGCCCTTACTGCTATTGCCATTATTAACGATTTCTAATGGCTAGATATGTTTAGGATCACCTACTATGTGCAGGAAGATGTGTCTTAGGCATGGGGCAGGCAAAGGCTGCTCTGCTGTGCAGTCTGAGAGAAAGCCCACTTCCATTTTAGTTAGGGATGGCACAGAAGTGCGTGCGCGCGCGCGCGCACACACACACACACACACACACACACACACAAATATTTCAGAAAACAATAAACTTTGTTTATAAAGGTTATTGAGGGCTAGGTAGAGCTGATCTTTGACTCAGATCACATGGCCAACACTAACACAAAGGAAAGAACGGTTTCGTTTCTGAATCCATTTGACAGGTTCCTCACAATCAGAGATCCCCATCCCTCTCCCTGGATGTGACTTCAGATTAAGAAGCTGAGCTCAGACACAGCAACCAGAGTGATATGTCCTCTTTATGTGACCCAACAAAGGAACTGCGATTTCCTTCCCCGCAGGTGGCCGATGTGTCCACTAGGTGGCAGTGTTCCACAATGAACAATGAGGTCCCACAGGAAAGTCTGGCCAATACTGCGGACTACCTAATGAATATTTGCTACAAGCACAAATGGCAGATATTGTATCTGCGGCTGTGTCGGTTGTGTGAGATTCCACATCCAGGGCTTGGCATGGTAACACTTCCTCCCCTTTGTTGCTTGCATTTTGTGTCTGAAATAATGGCTTTTAGCTAACACCCTCTACATAGCCACTGTACTGAGAGTTATACAAACCTCACTGTGTGTGTCAGTCGCGTGGTGAGTCACACATACATGAAGAGTCTACGGGTCAGAGAGTAACGGTGTGCCCAGGGATGGACAGCTGGTTAAATCCAGTATCAGCTACATATCATAACCTAGAATTTACCTTCACAGTGTCCTGTTCTGTATTTAGGACAACATATTATTATCAAGATCAAGTGCTGTTAAAGCAGAAAAGAAATCATCTCCAATATCACAGAATTATATTCCAATTCATACATTTTTTCTGAATATCCCCCAAAGTACTATTTGCATAGTACCCACCCAGCCCAAGGAATGCAGCCAGCAACGTCTGAAAACCGCAGGTGTGGAAGGGAGGCAGGAGCAGTTTTTTCTGTAATCGTCTTAGAGTGATGTCTTGGAGGAATGATGGACACACCCGTCATCTTCTTCTGAATAAGAGACCCAAGGAGGTGCTGCATGGCTCCCACCCACACCCCATATTTGTCCATCTGTAGATGTCCTGTTGTGCTGTGCCGTGAGACAAATCAGTCTGGCCAGACACAACAATCATCATACTTTCCACGGCGTACACCTGGTGAGGCAGCTTATTATCCATATGACACAGTTTATCATGAGATTGTAGTCTGTGACCCTGTAAGTTGAATGGGAAGGAGGCTAGAGACAAGATGTCACGTCCCCTTCAGTTTACAGATGAGGACACTGACCCAGTCAGTCACAGGGTAAGGATCGTCCGCTCTACCTCTTCAGACCAGAGACAAGAATTGAAACCAGATGCCTATCCATTGCAAACCCTGGAGGACACTCAAGATCAGACCCGGCCCCCAATGCCAAGACCCACATCTGGAAAGAAACATGCTCCACATCTGAGAGCCTCCAAGGCCATGTCTGGTAGCCACTAAGCCCATGTCTGAGAGCACCCGAGCCAAAGTTCAGCCATTTATCAGTACTCATGGAAATCTTTAATGTGCTGATAGTCACCATAGAGTCTCCCAAGAGGGAATTCGGTGGTCAAGAGTTTGCAAACTGATTCTTCGACTCTCTGTTTAGCAGATCTATTAATAAATAGCATGCTAATTTGGGATAGAGCGGAGCTGGAAAGGACTCATTTGTGTTCCGTTGTCACAGTTTCTCGAAGCACTGGATGATGAACCTCAGGTTGAAGCAGTTAATGAGATGTAAGGGTGACTGAGGGGGGTGGGTTGATTTCAATAATCACAAGACCAAAACTGTCTTGGAGCCATAGCAGGCAGCTGACTTGAGGGCTTCGATTGGAGGTCACTGTGCCTGGAGAAGGTCGGGTCTCAGTAGAACTTCCTCCTGAGAAAGGTAAATTATTCATTGTGAGAGCTGCCCTTGTAAGAACCTTCTTAAGGAAGTCGGAAAAGTCAAACCATTTGAATAGTTCTATTCAGAGAACACCTGGATATACGGTATTTCAAGAGTCAACAAAAAAGGAATGAGGTTTCAGTACAGTGAGCTGGGGAGTGAATGTCCTTCAACAACTCCAGAACTTGGAGTGTCGGCGACTGGATTTGAATTCTGGTTGTGGATATTTGTTAGAATGAGTTTGCACAAGATACCCTCATTGACCTGCTTGTGTCCTTAAAATAGTCATTTATGTAAACAGTGGGATAATGTTCCCTGTGGGAGAAGGCAGAGAAATAAATGAAAGGGTCATAGCAGCTTCAGAAATAACTTGAGGAGAAAAGAGGACCCCAAGGAAAAGCTCAAGTAACATAATGTCCTGCCTGAGAAAGGATTAGAAACTCGTGGTGAGGGTAGAAAACTAGCCAAGCGGTGGAGAGCCAGGAACCGGTGGCCGGTGAGCCAGTGGACAGCTAGGAAGATCACCCAACCCAGGGGAAGTGTTCCCACTGCCTGCCACACGGAGGACAGTGACTGCAGGGGAGAGTCTGGCTGGCATTCACACATGGTACTCCAAGTTGAGTCGGGCCAGCGGTCAGACAGCTTTAGCGGACACAGCAAATCACAGGCAAGGATTGGCCTCACTGATTTTGATTTCCTTGGATTGAACATTATGTCATCAGCAAGGCTGTTTAGAAGTTCATATGAAATGTCCTTAAGTAGGGAACGAAGCGAGGAAGATAGGCTCTAGCTCATTTCGTATAAACTGTCCTTGACAATGTGTCCCAATCACGTTTGTTCACCTGTAATAATGTTCCCTCATTAAATTGAGCCGCCATCTCCAAGGCGAGTCAGCGCAGTGAAGGCCACAATGGTGGCCCTGGGGGGCCTTGTATCCTCTACCCAGCTCTGCCAGGAAGCCCTCCATGCAGTGCTGGGCACGGCAGTCCTTGGTCCACATTCTTGGGAAACAAAGAGGAGCAGACAAAGCAACCAGAGACTGGCCTCATAAAAATGACCCTGAAGGCAGAGAGCCCTGGGACACGTCCCCAGCCATGCCACTGTCTAGCTTTGTGGCTTCTGGAAGGGCCCAAGGACCCTAGAGGGTGATCTGAACCAAGAAGTCTTCTTGCCATTCTGAAACGGTCTCTGGTTGCTTAGTGCCACCTCCCAGGTTTTCAACCTCAAGGGTTTTGTATTCTCAGTTATGATTGTCCATGTTTGTAATGACAGCATCCATCTACATAGGTCAGGTTGGCCTTAAGTTTGTTACACACACACACACACACACACACACACACACACACACACACACGAGTCTCTCTCATCTCCTCAAACATAAGGGAAGCGATGAAAGCAGAGTCCAAGGAACACTGACAGCAGCAGAAACCCGGACTGACCCAAAAAGAAAGAAAAAGACATGAATGTGATGTTCTCCACATGTCAGTGGTTTTAGGGTTCAGAACACTGAACCTGCAGAACACCCTCCCTATTGCTCAGAGTCATGAGATCATCCTGGAGTGTTGGTGGGGGTAGGGGTGTGGGGTGAGCTATGGCGTGGATGCATTCCTTTCTGGAAGCTTATGGCCAGCCATGTAAAACAAATGAATCACAGACTAGCTGAGCAAGCTTTTGCCAAGCTTAACTTTCTCTCTAAAACACCCTAGGTGGTGTCTTCATAATTCATTCTTGTCTCTAGGGATACACACAAGCAAAGGCAAGAGATTACCTAAGCTAAAGTGGGTCACAGACCACATTTACTAACTGGGCCACCATCACAAAGAAAATAAAGATAAAATTTCCTTTTGGTTTGTAATCATTTCCCTGAAAATAACGCCTCTCTGAAAGAGCAGAGTTTCCCAGTTACAGAAACTGACATGCAAACATCCAGTGCTGACATTGGACAGATTTTAGGATGGACATTATCAATAGTGAGTGAACCAAATTCTCATTTTAGACCATAAGGGTTCCCCCCACCCCAATTTAAAACTCCCTTGAAGAATATCCCCATCAAATATGAACGAAGGACAGGAGAACACATTACATCATAACAAGTGCCTAATTACCACGTGGAAAGGCTGTCTGCTTTACTAGTTATCCCAGAAATAAAAAGTAAAATCACAGTATGGTGCTAATTTTCACCTAATGATAGACAAAGACTGGAACCAAAAGCAATGTGTCAAGAAGTTAGAGACAGCAGAATCGACATTTTGATGGTGTGGTAGTACATTGTAGAGTAATCCCGCAGCCCCAGTATTAAACACGTGTGCCATTTGGCTCAGCAACTCAAATTCTGAATTTTATGCTATGCAAACAACCATAGAAATACAGGGAGTTATAATGAGGTGGGCGTTTATCACTATCACCTGCCTCTGTAAGCTTTGTTTTTTAAATTAGAAATAACTCACTGTCTATGAAGAACAAATTAGATAAGGTATGTTACAGCCACATAATGGAATATGTCATAAACTTCAGAAGTCACAATCTAAATCTGTGATCATGTTATATTAAAAGGCAAATCATACAGCTAAGACATTTCTCAGTAGAAAAGATAAATACAGTGCACACCTGAAAATAAGATCCAAGCTAAGGGCTCTGGTAAATTTAATAAAGACACCTTCCACTTATGGTTATTTTTCTGATTATTGAAGCTTTTACAACAGCCATGCATTCATTGCTCTTGTACGTAGAGACTAGCATTAAAGCATCCAAGAAGGATGATGGACATGTCATCTGGCAAGAAAAGACTTCAAGTTCCTGGAGGCCACAAATAGACCCCTTTGTTTTATTAGATTTAAAAGATGCTACTTGCTCTCTGGAGGCATGTGATGGCCTGTCCGCCAGGATTTAGGGTTAACATCCTGCTTGAGAGATGGAAGCTTGAGCTCTGAAGTCTAATTTGCTTGAATCTGTGTATCCTGCCTGGTCCACTTCTATTGACATCCTGTCTAGTGGCTGAAGCCTACCTCCTGATGTTCTAGACCCTGGCTGGGTTCTGTTAGGACAGCATGTGAGTCTTATTCCCAGGAGGTTCAGTGGATGTATAAGGAGACAATGCATGGTAGATGACGTAAGAGAAATGCTTTGGGATGACCCCAGCTACTCTCCTTGAGAACAAGGGGCCTCCTCCGTAGAGCTCCGGGTTTGTGTGTGTGTGTGTGTGTGTGTGTGTGTGTGTGTGTGTGTGTGTGTGTGTGTGTGTGTGTGTATGTGTGTTAGTTTTGGTGGTGGTGGTTGTTTTTGCTTTTGCTCTTGTTTTGTCAGAACTAAATCTGATGTGGGACTGAGGATGCCCCAGCATCTGTCTCTATGGAGGGCTGGGAAAGAAGGGTTTATATTCTCGTACAGGCAACTGAAATTGTTCCCAGCACATCTCCGCTGTAATCTATCAATGGCCGCTCCATGACTGCACAGTCAAGTTCAAGCTGTTTAGGTTGAGAGCTGTTGTAGGGCTCCTTGGTCTCACAGATGTGCTCCCATCGCTGCCTCCCTACCTTACTTCTCGCTTCCCATGAGGGCATGGCAGGGATTGGCTTTGCTGTCTCTCTCCCAGCCCATCTCCAAAGCTGGCAGCTTCACACCATGAAGCACCATAGCCCACAGTGCTCTAACCCTCTGGTCCCTTGCTCCCATCCGTTTCTTCACTTGCCTGCTGGCTCCCGCTGGTTCTTACTTTCAGTATGGTTCAAGCACCACTTCAGAGATTTTTTTCACTATCTCTTCCCCATCTCCAACTGGCAAAGCCCCCTGCTGTACCCCAGATCTTGGCACATCCATTCGCTCATGTGTGTATTAGTAAGTGCTTGAGTCCTCACTCTTGGGCACTGGCCTCCATTCTGGGTAGAGGAAAAGCAGAATAAGTCAGAGAGCTCGCCCCAGCTAAGCTGCTGGTCTATCTAGCTATGGTGACAATATTGTAATCATTTGTTTTCTTCTGCGCCTCTGACAGACTGCGAGCTTTGTGAAGGCAGGAATGGAGTCCCTGTCTTATTAGACTTTCCTAGTCACTGAGACAATGTGTTCCTGTTGAACACACATCAGCTATTGAACGTTAAGGATTATTGTTTTGAGACAGGGTTTCTCTATGTAGCCCTGGCTGTCCTGAAACTCACTCTGTAGACCAGGCTGGCCTCAAACTCAAACATCAGCTTGCCTCTGCCTCGCACATGCTAGAATTAAAGGCGTGGGCACCACCACCACCAGGCTAAAAGCTTGGCTGCTGTTGTTAAACATTTAAAAGAAGAAATAATGTGGCAGGGACACACTGTCTTATCTGATTTAACTGTAGGGTTCTAATCAGTTTCCAAGGAGCGTCATTAAACATGAAGGCCCCAGACTCTCCTCTGAACTGACTTTTAATCTGGCTAAGTCAATATATTCCTCAACATGTTAACACCTTGAAAATGTTAGATTTAACTAAATTAAGACTACTACATAAGAACAAAACCAGAAATCTTAGTGAGCATTTTAAATTCCTTGACTCCCTCCTCTAATCATTTACTAACTAAATGACTTTGAGTACTTAATTTGATTTCTCTGTCACATGGCTTTCTCAACTATGAGATGCAGATGATAATAGAACCCGCTACATGAGGTAGTTGTAGGTTTCAATCAGCCACTATACAGAAAAACCTTAGGTCACAGCTGTTAGGGCTGATGGAGATAGTGATGATGTCTGAGACAAAGGATGGTGGGCAGGACTGTGTACCGATGGACACTATAGCCTTTAGGGTCAGATGGTCCTGAATGTGTAAGCTTGCCCTTGTATTTGTTTATTAACTGTGTAGCTCATGATAAGTTGCTTATGTCCTCTTTGCCTTGGGTTATCTCTAAACAGCACTTAAAATAATAGCACTGAGTTGGAGAGAGAGGTCAGCAGTTAAGAGAACACTGGCTGCCCTTCCAGGGGTCTCGGGTCTGAATCCCAGCATCCACAAGGCATCTCACAACCATCTGTTACTCCATCTCTAGGGAACCGGATGCCATCTTCTGGCCAGACATGTTTGTGGTGCACAGACACACATGTGAAATAAATAATAACTTAAAAAATAATAACACTGTAGAATTCTTACAAAGCCTAAACAAGTCACAACAATAAATATTAGGATAATTAATGGGTACACAAAGAGTGATAAATAAGCATTACATTAATAGGCAATAATAAAGGAAAACAAAGAGTTGTAGGATATTGTACGGGTTCGATTCTGCCTCTTTCTGAGAGCAAATGTAACATCTGGGAAGTGCTTATGCAAGCAGATCATCTGAGTGATATGTCTCTCAAAACCAGAGTCGAAACATCTGACTGGGGTTGGAGTCTTTGAAATGAATATGGAGACTCGATCTAACAGAGTCAGGGGCTGGAAAGATACAGCTGAGGGCTAGAGAGAGTGGAACCTCGGGGGAGCAGGGTCCTCTCAGGAAATGAAGGAAGTCCTCTGCTCTTCAGTGGCGGCAGCTGGAGTTTGGAGGGGTGGGACTTCAGGGGACAGATGCCGATCCAAGTCTGTTTGACTGATGGCTTGTTACAAATGCTGGGAGGAGAAAGGCAGAAGCTGTGATGTTTGATGGGCCTTAGCCAGCTCAGCATCCCCTGTCTCCCCGGATATTTGGTGCTTTCTCTCAATTCTCAGTTTTGAACGGATGCATCTTTGGCAGTCAGCACCAGCAGTTGTGTGTTCTCGCCGTCCTCTTGGACACTGGGTGTCAGTGAAACCAAGGGTGGGGTGCGAGGGGTCCCATTCCCCTGCTGCGGCGTACCACCTGTCTACCAAGCCTTATACATTTATAACACTTCTTCAAGGTACTTTCTCCATCTAAGTCAGACATTTGCTTCAAAAAGGGGGAAAACCCACATAAATAAATAAACTCAGCTCTGTGACTGCATAATTGGAAACGCAAAACTAGAATTGTACAACTGCAGAAGTACTACAGCTAGGTACCTCTACCTTCAACAGGACCTGACGACCTTGCCTCTCAAGACTCAAATTAAGCACTAAGTTTGAAGAAACCACCCTGATGCTCTAATCTAGACTAAGAAGAGTCTCACTATGTCCTTCCCTTGCTGTTTGTACTGTGGGTGTTGTACACATTCATTTGTTGCCTGTTCATGCAGGATGACAATTTGTTTACATAGCTGTCTGTGTAACTGTGAGTATCTAGTGAAAGATGGCATGGGATGCCTTACCAAGATGCAGACTCCCGCACCTGATTCCTTTTTGATTAATTGTATATTAACTATGCAAAACAAGGGATTTCATTATGACATTTTCATATGTGCAGGTAAGGTGCTTTGATCATGTTCACTCCCTCTGTTACCCTCTTCTGTCTCCCTCCCCCTCTCCCCACCCTCCCTTAGCACTCCCCCTTTCTTTTCCTGACCCTTTAACTTTTCCTTTAAATTCTAAATGACAGAAAGCAGGTGATGTTTGTCTGAGTCAGCTGGGCCTGCCTTCCAATCTCCTACATCAGAATTGCTGGTCATGGAATACAAATTTCTGCATTTCTAAGGCAAAAATTGTCATTTACATGCAGTCAATTTTGAAGGCCTGTGAAAGAGACTGGGTATCTACTTACTGCAGATGAGAGGACCCTGCATTCATGTTCCACTTGGAGAAGCATTGCTTGTAGATGTCCTACACATGAGACACTTGGGTGAGCTCCATAATACATTACAAATGCTAGGATAAGACAGACATGGCAGGAGATTCTGATCATCCCAGTTTATTGCAGCATTTGGGAGGGAGAGGCAAGAGGATCACTGTGAGTTCAAGTCCAAGTAAGACATTGCTATAAACTAAATGTCTATATTCCACCTATGTAATATTAGCCGCCAATGTGGCGATGATATTATGAGGTGCCATGGCCCTTTCTGACATGTAGGGACATAAGGGAAAAATGAGAAAATGGTCTTTGATGAACCTGGAAGTGGCCTTCTCCAATTACCAAATCCACTGGCACCTTGATTGAGAACTTCACAGCATCCAGAACCATGAGGAATCCTTGTTTGTTGTCATCTTCTCGGTGTGCAGTATTTTGTTATAAGAGACCAAGTCAGACATACACATGAATACCTATAATCCTATAATCTTCTAAAAAGAGGTGCACTCTCGTCTGTGAACTGGTGTGTGTGTGTGTGTGTGTGTGTGTGCACTCTGTATATTTATCCTGAGGGAGTTATGGACACTGCGTATAAAGTGGTTCTACAATACACAAACATGATGACAACTTATCCTCCTTTATTGCAAAAGTTGACTCAGTTGGACATGTTTTTCTCCCTAAGATCGAAAGACTAATCTTTGGTCAAACAAAGATTGATAAAATCTTGAGCAAATTCGTTGGGGAGTGACCAGGGTGATTCATGTTCTATGATGACAGTTCACATAGCTGGGGATCAGATAACAAAACACAGAGTGCGGGAGTGAAGAACAGCAGAGTTTCCCACTCAGGGGATTAGTGTGTTAAGATTAAACTGTGGAAGGACTTTCTAATAACTAATGAAAATGTGATAGATAAATGGAAATTTAATGCCAGAGATTTTTTTCAGTTAATGTTTCTTTAAATCCCTAGAATCATACTTCTTTTTGTCACTTTTCTAAGTTAACAGGGTTCTTGCCATCTCTTTAGAGCTCACATATCCAGGACTCCTTAAAAGGGTGGTTATAGTCAGTGGTTGCCTCTCAATGGTCAGCTACAAGCTTGCAGCCCTCAGCCCCTCCCTTGTAGAAATGAGTCAGGCTACCTGAAACAAGCTCATATTCTTGCATTGGATTTCCAGAGTCAGAATTCTTTCTCTTAAGAATTACTCAATGAGGGATGAGGTCACCACTCAGTGGAAAAGCAGTCAGGCAGCTTGTGTGAAGCCCTGAGGTCTATTCCTAGCATCCACCACCCCACACATATACTAAGCATTCACTGACTGGCTTGGTTTCTATGGGCCTGGCACTGCTATGGCTTAGAGATGCTTGCAATTTATCTGGGGACAGGACCCATGACTTGTATTAAAAACCACTTTAACTATTGTGTGCCTGCTTCTTAGGCTTATTCACTGGCAGCTCAAAAGTCCTCTGATGCCCATAGCATCACCTGGAGCTTGTTAGAAATCCAAACCCTCAGGCCCAAATGCAGACCTATTGAATCAATATATCCCCTTTAATATAATATACATATATATAGGTAGTTTCATAGACATTATACAATCATCGGGGGTTCTTGGATAGGGTTGGAGCAGGTGCATAGACTTTTTCTGGAGACAATTATTCCTACAGTCTAGTCTTAGTATATTTTAGCATCCCTGGTATTCTGTTACTTCTTGCTGAAGAATACTTAGACTTAAATTATAGTTTCACTGCTCACTAGATGTCTGATGAAAAGAAAAAACGATTCAACCCAAATGAATCTGTGACATCATCTATGAAGGAAGAAGATGATAAGATTTTTGGCATGGTGACTGGGAGAATTAAATGTTTAGTGTACGGCTTGGCATAAAGCAAACACTCTGAGATGAACTTCTTTTTCTTCTCTTTGACAGTGAAATTTAAGAACCCTCATGGTCCAGTCAGGTGCTTGGCTTGGTTTGTTATCAGAGAGAATAGACTTTTTGGTAGAGCTCGTGCTTAGCATGTGCAAAGCCCTGGGTTTAATGTCCAAGTTGGAAAAATCCAGGAAAAGGGGGAATGAGAAGGAAGGGAAGAGGATAAAGAGAAGAGAGAAAATTAAGTATATCAGATGCCACTACTAGAACACTGTGTATCACAATTTAGAAATGCAAACAGTTCAGTCCCTCCCCTGTGGCCCATGTTAGTCACTTTTATTGCTTTAATGAAAAAGCAACTTAAGAAGGGAAGAGCTTACTTTGACACACATTGGAAGATGCAGCCCATCATGGAGGAGAAGGGCGAGCAGCAAGGGTGACTCCAGCTACCGAGGCAGGAGTGTGCAGCAGTTGGTCACACAGTGTCCACAGGAAGCAGAGAGGAGTAAACGCTGCCCTGCACTTGGTGTCTCATTCAAGTCGATGCCAAAAGCTGCCAGGATGTTTGAAGAAGTGGTAGTCAGTGAGAATCGTGAATGAGAAAAAGCCTTACAGCCCGGTTTACGCAACCTTTGAAGCTTGAGGCGTCGGTTGTGTGACATGTACTTAGGCATCACTGTGGAAAGGAGAGCTGGGACCTTGCTGTTGACCAATGCTGGGTGTGGGCTTCCGAGTGCATACCATTGATTTATTGAGCATACTTTCCCAATAGAATGGTTTCCTCTAGAGTCAGAAATCTGCTGTAGTGGGTCTGACCAGCAGCAGACTGGCAAATAATGACCATACCCCCTTTTTAGTGCAAGCTTGGCTTTGGGGAGATCTTTGCAACTTACTGATCTTTGCTAGCTGTTGTGTACAATCTGTATTTTATACCAAGTCACAAGCCAGTTAAAAATGGTTTGCTGTGTAGAACAGGAGTGGATAGGATGACAGTTCAAAGTAGTTTTCTTTTGTTATTATTCGGTCAGCTTATGAAACACCCACATATAAGATTCGTACCTTTCCTATTTGTCTCCAATACTGCAAGACCCTTACATGATCCATAGTAGCGAGCTCATTGGCAACTTATCTTGTGGATTCAAGAGGACCACTTCAATGATTTCTCTTCTTTGGTTATTGTCACCCTCTGATGGCCAGCCACTATCTCCTATCCTCAGAGCTCTTGTCTCCTTTGCAAATTCCTGAACCAGCTTTGCATTATACATTCCATAGCAGGTCCTGGCCCAGATATGCTGCTGATGTTGCAAGTTGGCTCCCTAATATCATTCTCATAAAATAAATGTCCAATAATAAGCCATCCCCAGAAGTGAGAACTGTGAATTAAAATAATAGATAATATAACCGCAATTAAGAATATATGCCAATATTAAGTGACAAGTTTCAATAGTTCAAAAACTGCAATTGCTTTTATACCAACTTACATAGAGTCTGGGACCCAGCCTATGCAGAGTATCACTACCATTCAGAGCTGGTCTCCCCACCTTGGATAAAGGTGGAAATATCCAGATAGATATATTCAGAGATTCATCTCTAGTTAGTTCTAAACCTATTCCAGGTGACAGTCAAGATTAAGCATTACAAGATTACTGTTTGTAAACTTGATGCCCAGTCAAGTAGCTTTTAAGATTCCACCCTTGGTCTCACAGACTCATGGCTAGCTCAGTGGAAAATGTATCCAGTCTTGCTTCCCAAGCCCCATGGTCTATAACAGCCTCAATACTGTTCAAGAGTAGAAAATCACTTGTGAGACTATGGAAACTCTCCTCACTGTGAAATAAATTACATACTTTCACACAAGACACAGAATAAACAGTCTTATTCCAAAGGAGAGGATTAAGAGGAGAAAAAGCCAATATATATATACACACACCGCACACACAGAAACTCCATTTGAAACTGAGCTAGAGGGCATTGATTTTTGTTTGTTTGTTTGGTGTGCGTGCGTGCACGTGCGTGTGTGCGTGCGTGCTTGGGTGCATGTGTGTGTGTGTGCGTGTGTGTGTGTGTGTGTGTGTGTGTGAAACATGGTCTCTAGCACAGTTTCCCTTGGAGTTTGTGTTCTCTTCTGAAACTTCGTTAGCCAGGTTTCCACTGCCTGTATTTCTCAAAGTATTCTCTTACATCCCAACCTGAATTGCCCATCAAATCCTGTTTGTAGCATTCCAGGGCTTCTGTAGACCACAACTCTAAACTGTTCCATGTTTCTCCTGCAAACCAGTTCCAGGGGCTATAAACTAACTACAGGACAGGCTTATTGTGGCTGCGACTCTATCACTCAGCACCAAGTTTTTGGTTTTCCTTTTCTAATCACTGTGATGAATGCCTGACCAAAGCCACTTCAGGGCAGAGGGTTTATTTCATCTCACTTTTGATGGTCCCATCCGTCTTGGTGGAAGGCATGGTGGCAGGAATGTAAGGGAGATGGTCACATTGCATTTGGTCATGAAGTAGATGGAGATGAATTCTGGTGCTCCACTCATTTTTCCCTTTGCATTCAGTCTGGTACCCCCGTCAATGGGATGGTGCTCCCCACACTGCAGACAGGTCTTCACTCCTCAGTTGAATCTCACTGGAAACACCCTCAGATACCTACAGGAAGTTGTCTCCGGGTGTTTCTAAGTCCTGTCAAATTGACAGTGAAGATCAGGCATCCCAGGACCAACCCATAATATCTTCTGTAGCTAACTCACTCTAGCATACTTCTCTTCCTGACTGGTTATATAGCTTGTTGAATTTCCATGCTGATTTTCAAATGTACCTACTCTTATGTAGATGTTTGGCTTTGGGCACATCCTTGGTATCTGACAGTTGTGTAAACATGTTTTGAACATGAATTAGGAATAGTAACTATAACTTGGAATTGTTGTAACATCAACACACATCATATTCTCTAAAAGACTAACAGTTATGCTTAAATAGACCATATACTCCATAAACTGCATCTCAAGCCATTTAATTTCTTCCCTTGATGGGGTTTATTTCCTACTGGCAATTCATCAGGCTCACATTTCTATTACTTTATGTCTCTTTGTTATTTAACTAATGCATATTTGATTGACTTCATGAACACTTATAATTTGTTTCTGCCTTCTCCCACCTAAATCATGGGGAGTTCCTCCAGTTCAAATGGCAACTCAATATGTTCCATGCTTGGAGGTATGTGTATTTATTGTCCCCTAGATGCTAAAGCTATATCCCAAATGCCTTCGTAACAGTTTTGCTGATGAAGTAGAATCTTAGACTTCAGACTTATCACAGATTACAAGTGCGCCTATGTCTATATAAGTGTATTTTTTCTCAACTTGTACTGATTTTCTGTGGATTTTACGACATGCATGCTGATAGCACTTTTTCCCTGCCCCCTCACTTCCACCCTCAGCCCGTGAAAGCTCCCCACCTCTGCCAAAACAAAACAAAATTAAAAAAACAAAAACAAAAAAGGAGAGTCACACAGTGGAAGCTGTAGTGTGGCCCATTGAATCATCAAGTCTTCCCTCCAGTCCATTCATCTTTACTTGCAAGTGTTTGTTGCTGTGAGTCATTGGTCTGGCGTGAGGCCTCTGGCTTCTGCTATACCATCCATAATGGGCTCTCTCTGGAGCTCTTCTTGGATATCCTGTTGTTGTCCTGTGTCATGGAGATCCTACAATTTTAGATCAGTAGGTTTGTCCCCTTCACAGGCTCCAACAGTTCACAGATGAGGTGGATGCTGGGGTGGTCTAATTCATAACCCTTGTTCTGGGCCTGGGTTGGTCAGCCTGCCCCTGCCAGCTCTCCCTCATCATCACTAGCCAGGCAACCTCTCCAGCACTGCCTGGGCTAGCTCACCCAATGCAGCCTGCAGCAAGGAGTGGGGACAGTTCTGCTCTCAGGTTCTCAGATCCGGGTCACCCATACCCACACCACCAGGGCCAACTCTACTGTTTAGCCCAGGCGAGGTACAGGGTCTTCTCTCCCATTGCTGTGGGGGTATATGGATAGTGGGGTGGGGGTGGTCTGTACTTTTAAGGAAAGAACTATAGCAAACAAAAAAAACCAAAGTAGGTGGGGGTAAGCATCCTATCAGAAGTCATAAGATAGATTTACTTGTAACTGTTAGTTTTATTCAGTTGCTGATTCATGAATATTCCTTACCTTGATTTTTAAGTTGACCCAAGGATCTGCTTTGACTATTGGGAAGGCATATAGCTTATCACTAGCCATTTGAGTTTTGGCTTGTGAAGCCAGGGGTACTAAATATTTGTTTTAATTTTTAAATAAATTTCATTGATTAATTTCAAGTATGTTCTTCATTTGTAAGCTTCAAGTCACATTTACCATGATTAAAGTTCCCTTGTCCTTTAGCTGAAGGACTGGTCCTTCATTTATTATCTACTGGCTCTGCTCATCTACTAACATTAGGTCTGCAGTAGGCACCCATGCAGGTCATCCATTTTCCAAGTCTTGTGAGTATCACATATTTCACATCCAAGATTAGCCTCCTAATCTCATTCTATCCCTCTCTCATTCTATCATAGTCTCCCCTGATGCTAGTCATAATTTAGCAGCAGATCAAATCCTGTGATCCCAGACCACAAGCACCAGAAACCAACTCTAGATTTTAGCATTGAACAAATTGTTTGCAGAACACAGGTAGTTCAACAAACCTAAAGTCTAGCTGATAATGGGCAAATGAGTATCTAAATCTCCAGTTGACGATATCAAGACTATTCTGGGACCAAGCCTACGTGATTCTTCCTCCTGTCCTTTCTTCTCCTTCCCTCTCCCTCTCTCTTCCCTCCTTTTCCCCCATTGTATTTCTCATTTCAGGTTCAAAATCATTTTAAAAGGTTTAATTCCATTTACTCACATACACTGGGGCCTGGGCAGCTGTCAGAGGACGACTTGCAGGAGCAGGTTCTCTCCTTCACCGTGTGGTTCCTAAGGAACTGACTCCAGTTGTCAGGGTTAGAGGCAGGTGACTTTACTTTCTGAGCATCTTGCTAGCCCAGGGCCCAAAGTCTTCCCTTGAATTACATGCATGCACCTTGATTGACCATCTCTCTGGGATTGCAGAATATAGTAGGAATGGTTTACTTCATGAGAATGTGCCTGTCAGTCAAAAAGAGTCAACTGGTATAATGAAAATTATCTCCTTTTGTTTGTAACGAATGAGCATTTTAAAAACATAATCAACCTAAAACAGGATCTTAAAAAATAAAGTAAAACAGAAACAAATAAAATGGGTTATTCAATGACTTCCGTGGAAAGCCACTAATGACCATTCTCAGGTAGGCAAATTTTTGCTTATAGAAACTCAAAATCACCAAAGTGATAAAGATAATATGTTTCAGTGACTCTCAGATGCCAGGGTTGGACCAGGTATGTTAAGTCACCATGGGGGTTTTAGAGTCTAGAGTCCGAGTTTTAAAAAAAAGAAATAGCCATTGATTTAATTTGAAGACCTGTGAAGCTGATGAGCAGGAAGCTGAGCTAGCAGCCACTTTCCTGTTCCTCTGGAGCATAAAAAAGCTTGTGTTAGGTGCTCAGTCTGATCTCTGTGAGGCTTTACGTAAGCATGGCCCTACAGAGTCAGGGTGGCATGATAGCACTTCAATGCCACCCATACTGCCTCCATATTTTGGCATGAGAATAAAATACGTGTGATGTGATCATCTGTTAATTAGCGGGTGGATGACACACCTGTGTAGCTACGTTCTGCTTTTTGTTAAAGTGGTACCATGTTGACTGTGAGCTTTTGAAATACACTATCACTCAGATCACACCTCCTGGTTGTTTTTCAAGCAAAAGGCTCAGCCCCTCTTGGCTTTGGTAAGGCTCAGGACCCACCCCCACAGAGAGGTGCCTGACATCTGATGTCTCTAGAGCCGGTACTTGGGGTCCTTTAGGACACCAGAAATGGCTTAACCAGCAATTCTTCAGCTCCACGCTTACTGACACCTGAGAGCTTTGGCAAGAATTGAACCCCTGCACAGGGTTCAGAGGAAGAGCACTTACCTGGAGTGCATGAGGCTTCGCACTGATCCCTGGCACTGTAAAAACAAACAAACAAATGCTGGTGTTCACCTCAGACCAATCAAACCTCTACTTGGGAGAAAGATCCTAACTTCTCCTGCCACTCCACCATTTTCATGATGACTCACTATGCAGCTGAGCTGGAACTGAAGTTAAAAAACAAAAATCAAGAAATGACGTCACATGCTCTAGAATCAGTGGGTAAAACCACCAGGACTTGTGTTCCATCTTGGACAAAAGCGCCAAAAGATCTATTTTGAAGCACAGTTGTCCTGCTCCTGTCAAAGCTTAGCAGACCCCTAGTTACCCATAAGACTCTAGCACATAGTCACCTACACCAGGCAGTCTTCTTTAACCCATCCAGGCCAACCATCACCCCGTGTTGTAAGCCAGAAACCACCCATAGTAGGCATTGTCCTCTACAGGACCAGAGTCAATAGAATGAACAGAGGCTTCTTTCTTTCAGGTATTTAAACTTCTTACTCTTTTATAATTTGTATATGTTGGATAGGAAGGCGTTTGTGTATATGTAAGGTAGATTTTTAAAGGCAGGTATTAGACTATACCATAGAGGCTTTGAAGTCTAGTAGTGGCCACCCATGTTCTGGAGAGGCCAAGAACCCAGTCCACGAGCCCAGAGGAGCCAACAGTTCAAACTGGCATGGGAGGCCTGGCAGAGTCCCTGGAAGTCTCTGGTATTCATTTTACATGGAAAGGCTAGAGAGGTGGAATCTGGTGTCCCTGAGGGATGGCCATGGTGGCGGCGGTGGTGGCAGCAGCAGCAACAGCAGCTGCGGCGATACAGACACTGGGGAAGCATTTTGAAAGGAGGAGCCACTGCACTCTCTCCAGACTCTTTCTGCCTGGACCACATGCTGCAATGTGCTGTCCTCTTCAGTTAATGCTCACTTCCAGGAGACCCAGGGGCACGTCTCCTGGATGATGCTACATGGCGTAGAGCTAACTCACACTTTTAGAAGTGCTGTTGATGGTCCCAGACCTGGTATTATATATATATATATATATATATATATATATATATATATATATATAATATTTCAGTGGAGCCAGGAATCTGTGTCTCTAATTCCTGAGCTGAGGATATGAGGCAGCTTCAGGAGCAACTCTCCATGCCCCACAGCATGTACATCCTCTCAACTTCATTCACTCACCTAAATCACCTACAAACCATGAGCCTCTTAAAGGTGGGGATATTATTTCAGTAAATTCTAATTCCCAGAGCCAAATACAATGACATTCCAATAGATGGCAGGACTGTGAACAAAGCCTCCATAAAACGCAACAGCCCAAATTTTCCTGATGCCATATGATTTCTCACCACCACATATAAATTTTAAGAAAATAAAATCATAAGATTGCATTATTGCCTTCTCTTTCTCTCCTACTTCATAAGACTTGCAGGGTATAAGCTGCCTTCTCATAGTTATACTATTTTGATACCTATTTTATGACAGGCACTAAAGTTAGAAATATAATGGTAAGTTCTAATATAGACGGAAACACCATACTGTTCTAATACTTCACACAGATTAAGTCATTTCATTCCCATGATGTCTGTAAATAGGGTATACCTCATTTTACAGATTAAAAACAAAGACACAATTAGGAGTATATGATATGCTTTAAGTCTTACACTCTTGGACTTAGTAGAGTAAATTTTTAAACACAAACAGTGTGCATATAAAGACGGTGCCCTAAAAATGTACCCTACCTCTGCATAGAGTGAAACTCACAGACCCCCATCATGAAGTGCTCACACACTCTGGGAGATATGTACAGTCTCTGAGAGCATCCTTGTAATGAGTTAAGATTCTACAGACTGAAAGAAAGGTCATCACAATACAAGCAGGGATCTTTTCAGTTTTGCCTTGTAGAGAGTACAGGAAGAGCATTAATGACCACCTCTGAGAGCAGGTATTGCTTGCCATGAAGGCTGTTAAGTGATTTTTGGCCATGAGAAAAAGAAAAGGGTAAGGACATTCCTAGCAAGGATGGCATCATAGAGATGGGAATCCAGAACATCAGTTATGTGCAGCAGTCATATTCATTTAGTGGTTCCAGTAAAGGAGAGATATTTAGATGCTAAATGATGTTGGGAAAGGTTCAGGGAGCCATTAGATGTCTTGCAAAGAGCCCTATCCAAACAAACTAGAGCAGCAAGAAGGATGTGTTGCCTCATCAGAGTCAGAGCCGGCTAGCCTAAGGCAGAAGGGCTTTGGACTACATCTTATTTTGGCCCTCTCTGTCTCTCATCTGCTCCCACACCTTGGCTTCTGCCTGTTGGCTTGTCTCTCTGGCTACAGCCCCAAGCCTGTCATCTCACACTCAGAGCTCGGAGATCAGCAACTGAGAGTTCATTTTGCCCCATTTCAGAAGCAGAAATACATTTCATTGACACTGATTGGTCCGATGTAAGTCACATTTCAGGCCCTGTGTGTGGTCAGAGTTTGGAAAGCGCTGATTGGCTCAACCTTAATCACATGCTTTGCCTTTGGAAACCATGAAGCAGTCCCAAAGCGTGCAAAACATAGACGCGTCCCACATAAGATGTATTGCCTTAAGAATCAGGTGCAAACAGGCACAGAAGTCTAAGGAATGCACACCAGAGTAGGAGTTCAGCTTCTGGATGGCCCGGGCTTCGGCATCATATGGTATCTTTACTTTCAAAAGATGAGCTTTTGTACTGGACCTTGTGTGGAGCCCTGTTTAGCCATGTTGAAGTCCAAGCTGAAGAGCAGTCTGCTGACTCTCCTTCAGTTGTAACTTTCTGGATGAGTGCTCTCCCGAGCTATCCCAACAGATCCTCCACCTTCCTGATCCCCATCCCACCAGCAGCCACTTTAGCGGGAAATGCCCAAGTCTGGAATTGTTCAGATGGAAACGGTCCTCTCTGATGGCGGTGGCCTCTTCTGGCATGAATTGAGCATTTGCAGTAGTGATGCCATGTTTCATTTGTGTTACTTCCTCAAGACCTCTGGTTAGCATCTTAATTTGCAATGCAAATCATATCTAGAAATGGTTTTTATAGACTCTACACAACTATCTACATGCAGTAACAAATCCCTTGGTCTAGCAGCTCTAACTTCATTTCATATAACAAAAGTACTCACCACTTGAGGTAGAGACCTATGGTAGTCAAATACACAAAGACTAAGCAACAGACTTGGGCTCTGAAAAGTAACAGTACCAACTATACTGACTCTTAGATGGGAGAGTCTCCCAGAATATAAGTTGGGTAATTACATCCCAGAACTAGAAAGGGAAAAACTAATTGCTCCAGATTCAAATACCATTCACTGTCACTCTCCAAGCAGAATGGACATTTTTGAGGGAAAGAACAAGGCATTTATCTCTGCTTCTCTTAGAGCAAGCAGAAGCTGAAATATGCACTGGGGGACATTTCTGCTCTAGTTAGTTGTATGTTCTTTTATGGAAGGCTGTTGCTTAAATGGCTACAGTTTAGGAAATGGAACACAGGGACAAAAACGGTTCTCGATGAATCACTTTATAGAGTCCATGTGACTAATGGCAGGGTTGGCTCAAATGGTCTCGGCTGGAAAATGGCTGCACAGTTAAAAACATGGACGCTCTTGCAGAGCACCTGGGTTCATTTCTGAGCACCGATAAAGTGGCTCCCAACCACATATTTCCGGTTCCTGGGGATCCGATACCTTCTTCTGGCGCACGCTCATAGATATTGCACATGAACTGACACAGGCGTGCACATGTGCACGCGCGCGCACGCGCGCACACACACACACACACACACACACACACACACACACACAAACAAACACTGAGTGAAAAGTAAACCCATGCAGACCAGATGTGAGAAATCTCACTCACTCGGCCTTCTGGTCACCCCTCATTCATTGCACCGTGCTAATATTTGTCTAGGTTAAGCATTACCAACAGAGGCCCACTCGATGCCTCGCTATCCCAGAGATCTAACACAGGCGGGTAGCGCCTCCCTTTCTAGCCTTTAGCAAATCAGTCTTGTGTATACACAGTGGAAAGCCATACTATCTCTGTTAACAGCTGAGAGTGTCTGTCTCACTGTCCTCTGCCTTAAGAAAACAGGTCTCCCTGGCCATTGTCTCTGCAGGTGGTGCAGCTGGAAGCATGGTCCCTGAGCAGCAGCTGCAGCTCCTTGTAACTAAGAGCCTCTGGGTTGCAAAGCAGAGCAAGGTAGTTGCAATTGGACAACACCCAAAGAGCTATTGTGATGCAGATGGCAGCTTCTGGCCCTGATCTCCAGAGTTAGTTGCTTTCCAAAACAAAAATCTGTTTGGCAGAAAAGAAATGTTTGTTTTAAAATGAAATCCATTTGGTTAATAATTATCCACCCAGTTTTAGGTTGCTTTCTTTGATTCTATAAATAATGTTGCCCACCCCTAAATAGAAGTGGATTTACTCTTTGAGGAATGAATCCACAAAACATATCCGAGACCTGGATTCCTTGCTTGGTAATAGTTGCACCTCATATTGTCTGTCTCTTTTTCTACCTGAATTAACCTAATGGCACGCTGTGCTGTGCGGGGAGCTTTGGCATGAGTGTTCTTCGGGAATGGGAGGGAGTCACCTAGATACTACAGTGCTGCATGTTTGCTTGGTTTGAAAAGAAAGTCCACAAATATAGCCCACCTGCTTTTGGAGTCAGATTATGTTTGGGCCATTGAGTTTTCACAAATCCTACACTGTCCACTGGAACAATTTTTGTCAGAAAGTCAAAACCTCAAGTTACATAGGCATATTTGGTGAAATGGCAGACACCAGCTTGCAGCACCCCTTAAATGAAAGCAAAGCTGGGTATCTTCTGAAAACCTGACCCCTTTTCTCCTCAGCTTTGGTTAGAAAGGAGGGAGGGAGAGAGAGAGGAAGAAGGGGAGAGAAGAAGGGAGGGAGAGAGGGAGGGAAAAGAAAAGGAAAAAAGGAAGAGAGAAAGGAAGGAAGGAAAGAAGGAAGGAAGGAAGGAAGGAAGGAAGGAAGGAAGGAA